GGGTTGCTTCCAACTGGGAGGGGCTGTGGTCATTCAATCAGCCTCCAAGACATCCTCCTAGCCACACCCCACCGTCCCACCAGCAGGAGCCAGCTCCACAGAACCTCCAATGCCTGGTTTCAAATCAGCACAAACCCCAGCAGGTACCACGGCACTGCCCAATGTGAATGGGCACAGCTGTGCTGTTACCCAGTGTTCTCTAAGATGAGCAAAATGTGGACTCCTGACGTGACTGGATTCAGGGGACTGAAGGCTCTGCCTGGCTGCCCACTATTATCCTCCCTGGCTGTCTCCAATCGCAGCTGCACAGCACAGCTTCTGTGCTGAAGGAAAACTCCTCTCCAGCATCATGCAGTTCAGGGGACCATGCCCTGCCTGGGGCTCTTGGTGGCCTTGCTGTACTGCAGGCTGGGCATCTCCCCGTGCAAGAAGACAGACCCACAAGGAATACAGGCAGGGCCAATAACTGCCACGCCTGCACCATGATGGTGTGCAGCCTAGGTTCACCAAGCCAATGTGTCCGTATGTCAGCTCCAGCCCTCAAAGACCCAGCTGAGAAACACAGGGGTAGCACCCGGGTGGGGGACAAAGCCCCAGAAATGCAGGCGGAAATCCTGTCTGCAGGCTGCCAGGAATGGAAGGGATGAACCTGCCCCACAAATCTCATTGTGGCTTCCCTGGGGTGGGAGTTTCCATCTACCTATCGCCTTGCTATTTGCAAATATGCCACTCTGGGAGACTGGCCTAGGAGAAAGGGTGAAAGCGGGGAGACCTTGCCTCAGGAAGTACATGCTTCTCCAGCTCCCCCAGTCCTGCTCATGCCTTCTGGGCCTTCTGGATAGTGACTGAACGTTTCTGTGGTGAGGTTAGCTGGGCCTTTCCAGCCAGGTCGCAGATTAAATGGGTTATGTAGGGATCATCTTTAGAGCTGCACCTACAGAACAAGTTTATTTATTTATTTATTTATTTATTTGAGAGGAACTTTTGCTATAGGGTGAAGGTGCTCACCAGAGAGACAGAGACAGAAAGTGAGAAACCACCCCCCAGGGGGATGGCCACACTGCAATCCCTCCTCCACCATTCATTTTTGGGGATTTTGGGCACACACACTAGGCATGAGTTTTTGCTTTGTTTTAATTTAATTTATTCATTCATTTATTTTAATTTGACCAGAGAAAAACAAAAAGAGAGAGAGAGATAGAAAGTGAGAAAGCAAGCCACCAGGTCCAGGACTCAAACTGTGATTGACCACATGGGAGTGTCCAGCGCCTTAACCACCACATCACCTGCTGGTTCCCCAGCATGAGTTTTTTTAAGCCACTGGATCTAGGACTCAAACCATGTTAACTATGTGGTAGTCAAGCGATGTAACCATTATGCCATCTGCTGGTCCCCAGAGCAAGTGCTTTTTTTTTAAAGAATTATTTAATTTAATTAATTAAAATTTGACCAGAGAGGGACAGAGTGAAAGTGAGAAAGCAAGCCGCCAGGTCTGGAACTTGAATCAAATCAGTCAGCCTTGTGGGAGCCCAGTGCCCTTAACCACACACCACCTGCCAGCCCCAGCAAGTATTTTAGTGGGGTGTATGCAAAGCCCCTCTCAATGCCCTAAGGGAGGGGCCTGGGAGGCTGTATTTGTTCCGCAAGCCCACTATTTCCACTTTGCTTTCAGAGTTCATGGGGTGGCCTGGGAGGAGTCCCTCACCCATGACTGGAGCACTTATTTCTGCCCCCTACTCCCAGGGCTCATGGACTCCCAACACTCTGGGTGTGGGGGTACATGGTTGGCTGTAGGAAAGAAGCTGGGGCTGGCCAAGAGTTCGAGCTCACCTGGGCCCAAGATCCAAGCAGTCTCTTCCCCTATGATAATTTCAGATATGAAACTATAAAAAAGTGCAATTAACCCATAGACTCGCCACCTAACTTCAGCAGTAAATATTTGACAGTATTATTAGTTTCTACTCTAGGGAGCATACACTCGCCAGAGAGAGAAAAGTGCAAAATCACCCCTACCACGGGAATGGCGACGCCTGAATCCTCTCCTCTATTCTGTTCTCCAGATTTTGGACGTAAACATGCCTGGTGTGATCCTCAAGCTTAAACTCCACGCCACCAGCTGGCCTAACAGTATTCATTATATCAATTGCAGATACAAGAGCCTGTGACCCTAGCTCTTACTAAAACAGTGTCCTCCACAGCTGGGAAGGTGGGCCACTCCCCCAATGTCAGTTAAGAGAGCCCATTGGAATCTAACTGCCCCCATGTCTGCAAAGCTATTTTTTCATGTAGTGCCTAATCAAAGTTCACACAATAAATTTGTTATGTCTTCCTGGTCTCTTTGAACCAAAACCAGACTACAACTCTTCTCTTAATGGAGACTTCTGGAGGTGCCCCAAGCAAGTGTCCTCTGGAAGTTTCTCTGAAAACTAGAATTTAGATGAGAAGCCTTGATGAGATTTTTGGCAAGATTATTTCAGTGATTTCATGCCTATCCACCCCCGCCTAAAGGGATGAAAGTTGGTACAGTGTGCACATGTAGTTTTTATTTTTTTAAAGATTTTTTAAATTTAATTTTATTGTATTGTTAAAAAAAGAAAAATTAATTAATTAATTTAAAAAAAAAGAATTAAGAGGAAACTAAGAAAAAAATTTTATTTACTTACTTTAATTTGACCAGAGGGACAGAGTGGAAAAAGAAAGTGAGAAAGCAAGCCACCAAGTCCAGGATTTGAACTGCGGTCAGCCATGGGGGAGTCTAGCACCCTTAACCACTATGCCACCTGCCAGTCCTTTTTTTTTTTTTTTAACCCCCACCCCCCCTGCCAGTCCTTTTTTTTTTTTTTTTTTTTGAAACTTTTTTCCCCCCATAGGGAGTGTGTGCTTCCCGAAGACAGAGAGTGAGAGGGAAAGTGAGAAGTCACTGCCACCCTACTCTAGGTGGAAGGCCACACCACAGTCCCTTCTCCATTCTCTTCTCAAGTACATGCATGCACAAGTATTCGGTGTGATTTTCTGGTTGCCGAGTCTGGGACTTGAACCACAGCTGCCCATGTGGTAGTCCAGCATCTTAACCATCATACCACCTGCTGCTCCCTCCCAATGTACATGTAGTTTTATGACTAATAACAAGCCCTATCACCAACTCAAAGCTATAAATCAGTCCATCCAGGTCCACACCTAATCACTTACCTTGAAAGCCCTGTTCAGACTTAAGTCACAGCCAGCAGTAAGACTAGCTCATGTGGGGCCAGCAAGTGGTATGGTGATTAAGGCACTGGACTCCCACATGGCTGACTGCGGTTTGAGTCCTGGCTGGTGGCTTGCATTCTCACCCCCCACCCCATCTCTCCCTGGTGATCATGCTACGAGGTAGCAAATTAAAATAACAACAATAATAATAAAATTAAATTAAAAAATTTTAAAATAATTTTTTACTTTATTCATTTATTTTTTAGTTTGATCACAGAGACAGATGGTGAGAGTGAAAGAGAGAGGAAGTGAGAAAGCAAGCCACCAGATTCAGGACTCAAAATCTGGTTATGGGAGTGTCCAGTGCCTTAACCACCACGCCACCTGCTGGTCCCCTAAAAAAAATTTTTTTTTAAGAGTGGTTCGGGGTTGGCAAATGGCATGGTGGTTAAGGGTGCTGGACTCCCACATGGCCATCCACAGTTCGAGTTCTGGACCTGGTGGCTTATTTTCTCTTTTTCTCTCACTGTCTGATCAAATTAAAATAAAAATAAATAAAAAAATAAAGTCTTAAAAAAAGAGTGGCTCCGGGGGGGGCAGGTGGTTAAGGGTGCTGGACTCCCACATGGTCGACCATGGTTCAAGTCTTGTACCTGGAAGCTTGCTTTCTCACTTTCTCTCCGCTCCCCCGTCAAATTAAAATAAATTTTAAAATTCTTCAAAAAAAAAATGGCTCATGGATCCTTATTTAATATTTTATTATAAAACATATGCTCCTTATAAACATTTCCAACAATACAGAAATAAACAATGAGAAAGCAGAAGCCTTAGTACCCAAGACCAAAGTCTTAGTACCCAAGACCAGTAACGTCAGTTTGCTATATATTTCCATATAACCTTTAAAAAAGAACCACACCTTTGCTCTTGTTGGGACACCTCAGCCTGTTTACACAGATCGACCTCAGTCTTGTAGGCTGAGCCCCACCTGTTCTCTTGTGACTGAAACTCCCCTTTCACTGTGCGTATCCTGGGCATTCACTCCCAGCTCCCCACACAGATACCCTCAGTTAAACGTACACAAACGTGTGTCCCCTTAAAGTCTGGTGCACATTGTCAGAAGTTTGCATAAATAGTAGCTTCTATTAGCAGTGGGAGAACACTCCCAGAATCTTGCCTCCAGGGAAGGACTTCTATGTCCCATATTTATGGGCACTTGCAGACTTTCTGCAAGAAGCCTGTCTTTTGACCATTCTGTTTTATTGGGTATGGTTGCTACAAGGAGAAAGGTGTGTTAGCCTGGTGTCACAGACGAGGCCTCCCCTCAGCAGTGGAAGAATAGCCACGAGAAGGTACACAGCACACAATGCTCGCTCATGCACACCCTACAGTTCATGGTAAGGTCCCATCACCCTGTACTTTAATTTTTCAGTGAGCAAAATGCTCATCTTTGCTCCTCTCTGCTTTCCAACTTTGGAGCCACTGGAAACAGGGACTCTCACCCCTAGGCTATAAACACACCTTTATTTCCTTTTAGTCCTTTCATGGTTTTCCTTTTCACACACAAAGCTTGTAACCTTTTTTTTTTTTTTTTGCAAACTAGAAAACCAGTTTTTCTGATACTTTTTATTGAATAAATTATTCCCTGTATCATATACAAAAAGCCCTACACACAACCCACTTCTGGCTTTTGACTCTGTTCACCGACTCTTCAATTATTCCCCTGAACTAGTCCTTTCAGTAATTTTTAGTGAAGGGGTAGCTTTATAACTTCTCCAACTATGCATTTTTCAAGAATCTGAAGGTGGGTTAGGGTTAGATGTCCTAATGTTCAATGCCAGCTATTAGACATGGCCACAACAACAAAATAAACAAGGACTGGTCTCCAGGTGGGTGTCAGGCCCCATCTGCACATACCACTGTGTGTGGGATGGCATGGAGTTGGACTTCTTCAAAAGGCATCCCCGGTCTCTGGCAGAGGGCACAGGCTCCAGGGACCTGCGGACAAGGTTGATCCCAGTGTGTGCATGCGGCTGCCAGGATCTGGGTGATATGTCAGAGGCTGTCTGTGGAACAAAGACCACGCAGAAGCCAGGGGGCCTTGTTCCACTTGGCAGACACTCCAGAAAGAGCCAGGAGGCAGCATCAGACCCTGGGGCCCAGGCAGGGGTGCCCAAGGGTACAGCAGCTGCAGGCCATTGCCCAGGGCAGAAGATGGTGGGCAGAAAGCCAGGGGTGTGTGATGAGGCCCGGAGAAGGGGACGTTCAGCTGAGAGTCCTGCATTTGTCGTTTGTGTTTCATTCGGCGATTCTGAAACCAGGTTTTTATCTGTGGGAAGAAATAAAAAGATCAGAGCAGGGGTCAGAAGAGGACCCCAGCCCAGTTCAGCCTCGCCCTGGCCCACCTCACCTGCACCTCTGAGAGCTGCATCTCCTTGGCCAGTTTCTTCCGCTCCAGGGGGCCTAGGTACTGGTGGTGCTGGAAGGCACCCTCCAAGGCACTGACCTGCTCCACAGTGAAAGCTGTGCGGACGCGGGGTGCCCGGGAGGGGTCTGGCTCCATACTCAACCCTGAGGAGAGAAGAAGAACGAAGGGGAGCTGAGTCCATTTGTCTAAAAGTGCCCTGCACATGGGGCATGCTCCTTATCGCTCAAGAGGCACCATGAAGCTCTGTAGCCACCAAAGTGGCAACCACAATGACAATAGACATGACTGGAGGGCCTAGCAGGCTGAGCAGATGTAGATGTGTCTTTTCACCTGGCTCTGGTCAGCAGCCCTTCACCCCTTCACCATTCCGTGTCTCACCCCATCCAGGCAGAACAGTGAATCAAGGTGAGAGCCCCTGCCTCCCTCCCAGGGTCCAGAGAGTGCCTCAGGTGACAAAGGAATGTTCACAGTAGTTTGGGCAAGGGCTTTCCTCTCTGCTCTGGCTCACTAGGTCCCTTTCAATCTTTTCCATCCTTCCAGAAATCTGACTTCTGAATACCCTGTCCCATATTGTATATAGACAAGGAACTTCAATTTACCAGGTGAGAAGTGGAGGGTGATGGAAAGGGCTTTCAGTAGAAAAGCCTGGGGGCAGCCAGCTTCCGCTGAGATTCATTCAACTCAGCATTTTAGCTGTTTTAGCCAGAGGGGTCCAGAGAAGCCCAGCTAGGTAGGTCACTTCCCAGCTATGTGTCTTTTAATTTTTTTGGCAAGTCTGCATTTTCTTTTCTTTTCTTTTTTTGAGAGATTTGTGCTATAGGTCCGGAGAGACAGAGACAGAAAGGGAGAACTTACAACCCCTCCCCCAGGGGGGATGGCCACGCTTCAATCCTTTCTCCTCCATTCTTCTCTCGGGATCTTGGGCATGCACGTGCGACGCGAGCCTGTGTGAGTTTTAAGCCCCTGGGTCTGGGACCTGAACTGCAGAAGATTATATGGGAGTCCAGCGACAAAACCATTACGCCATCTGATGGTCCCAAGTCTGCATTTTCTAATGTGTAAATTAGGAGATGGGGAATGGTACTAAACAATCCCTGCAATGAGTCCCAGGGAGGAAACTGATATTATTTACATGATGAATACTAATTGCAAGTCTGACTAAAATGATATTTTATTTTTTAAAGAATTATTTTATTGGGACCAGCAGTTGGCGTGATGGCCATGTCGCTGGACTCCCATGTGGTTGACTACAGTTCGAGTCCTGGACCCGGTGGCTTAAACTCACGCTGGGCGCATGTGTGTGCGTGCCCAAGATCCCAAGAGGAGAATGGAGCTTCGAGAAGGGATTATGGTGTGGCCATATCCCTGGGGGGTGATTTCTTGCTTTCTGTCTCTCTCTTTCTGGTGAGCACATGCACCCTATAATAAAAAATCTCTCCCCTAAAAAAAGAAAAAATAAGAATTATTTTCTTTAACTTTATTTATTCATTTATTTTATTGTAATTTGACTAGAGAGGGACAGAGTGAGAAAGAGGGAGAGAGAGAAAGCCAGAAAGTAAGCCTTCAGATATGGAAATCAAACCACGGTTGGTCATGTGGGAGTCCTGTGCCCTTAGCTACCCCGCCACCTGCCAGTCCCTAACATGACATTTTTTTAAGGGGGGGATTTTACAAAACTTGAACCACATTCACCTGAGAGCACACTGCAGATTAAAAGAGCAAATCACTTCAGAGAATGATCAGGTGAGAGGCTGGATGGTAACTGGGCAGCATGAAGGATTTTGGAGGAATGAATGATTGGCTTTTTGGGCTGGGGAGTTATCGATTGGGTAGAGTAAAATTTCACCTTATTAAAGCATAAAATTATTCCATAAGAATTACTCAAAAACATGTTTTTAATTTTAGATTTTTGCTGTAGGGCATGTGTGCTCACCAGAAAGAGAGAAACAGGGAGAAAATGAAAAGCCACCATCCAGGGGGACCACCATGCTGAAATCCCTTCTCCATTCTCCTCTCTGTATCTTAAGCATGCACGCATGCGTTCGTGCATGCATGCACACGCACCCAGCCTGTTTTCCAGGCCGCTGCCTTCTGGACTTGAACCACACAGTTGGCTATGTGGGATCCAACCACCTTAACCACTGTGCACCAGCTGGTCCCTCAAAAATTCTTTCAATGAAAATTTAGAGATAATATCATCCCCACTTTTGACCAAATAATACTTCAAGCCAAAAAGCCACAATTAAATCACAAAGACTAAAAGATAAACTGAGAAAATCACATCAGAAGACAACAAAGGGCTAAAGTTTATGGAAGATCAAGCCCGCCAGTAACGCCCCAGGGCAGAAATGGACTGCATTTTCACAGGCATCTGCCTCTGGGTTGATCCTTTAAACCAAACCTATGGAGTCTTTCTTTTTTTAAAGGAAAGTCCCATGAGGGTTGTGAGTGTGCTAAAATTCAGATGTTGAACTAGACGCTTTGCTGGGAGGGGTGTCAACAACCCTCCAGAACAGTCCCAAAGACTGTGGAACCTGGGAAGCAATGGACAGACATGCTCATAACGCCAGCGTCCTGCTGTATAGTGAGAACCTGCAGTCTGCCCTACCTCCTTGAACCCAGGCCAGGGGTGAGGGACTCTGGACAGTCCACGGGCTGCTGCCCGGGGCGGAGGATGAGGACGCAGCTGAGTGACAGATGCAAAGAAGAGCAGAGAAGAGGACCCAGTCAGGGACTGAGGAGGCAAAATCCCCATCATGACTTTTGTTCCCAAGAGGAGACAGGCAAGACCTCAAATGCCAGCCCTGGGAAGAAAGTCCCCAACCCCCACTTGTACAAAAGAGCATGTGTGCACGCAGCCATCCTGGCTCCAGGACTCTTCCCAACTTCCAGACCTATCTAGGAAGAAAGGCAACCTCCTTCGCCACATCCAGACCTACCAGCCACCGGCGTCTCTTGTACAGACAGATCTGAGGACGTAACCTCATCCACGCTGCGGATCATCGGAGACTTCCGGATGCCAGACACCTGGCTAGGGCCAGGGAGGTTCCTGCAGGAGACTTCAGATCTGAAGGTGTGGGCCGGTTCTGAGCAGCTGCTCTGGGAGAGCCAGTCCACTGAGCCAAAGCTGGAGGGAGGCTTGCGGACACCTGGCAGGATGGAGGAGGGAGGCATAGTGGGGTGGTGGGGACCACACAGGATTAACCAAGGGTGGAGGGCCAGTCCAAGCTGTGCCACGCGGTGGACAGTGGGAGACACCCACGGGGTCCCTAGAGTGAGGAACGAACTCGGAGTCCACTCTGGGCTAGTAGGAAGAGTTGCATTTATAAGTTCAGGACTGAGCAGGAGGTGGGAGCCGAGTTTGCATAGAGGGCTGCAAATTCCCTCAGATAAGTAGCACCTAATTGCCTTCAATTCAGAGGCACAAAGGAGGCGGTTCACACCTCCCCGGCTCCAAGATGTCTGGGGGAGGGTGGAGCTGCAGTCACGGCTAATTGAGACGTGATGGCTCAGAGATTTGTTACCTCCTTTCATCTCCACCCAGTCCCCGCCCTGCAGGGAGAGGCTGCGAGAGGTCAGGAGTGCCCCCTACAATTCCAGACCGGCCCTAGGACTTGTCCTGAGGGGTATCAGGAGAGCCCTTCTGGAGGTGAGGTACCCAGCCTGGAGGTAACAGGTGTGCACACTCCAGGAAGAGCAAGCTGTTCGCTAGGCGAGACAGAGGGCAGACATTCCAGGAAGGGAACCCGGACAAACCAGAAGGCGGGGAGGATCTCCAAAGAAGTACCCCCTTGCTTCCGTCGGCCCTTCTCTGGGTAGACTCAACCTTCTCCAGCTCTGGCCCATCCCCTCGTAGGGACTCAATGCGGTGCCACAGGGGAGCCGCCGAGGACTGTGGAGCCGTGCCTGGCGGAGACCCGGGTTCTGAGCGTTTGCCCTCCGCATAGTCACCGAGACCTCCGCGCTGCTGTTCTCGTCGCGTCTGCACCCCGGGTTCCACGCTGGCCTTGAGGAACGCAGGCGGCTAAGTCATGGGGTGCCTGAGCCCAGGGAGAGGGAGCCACAGCTGAGTGGGCCCATCGCCCCCATGGTTCCCAGCACTCCGTCCGAGTCTTTGGCCGGACTGTCTGCTGCTTCCTGCGCAGCCTGGCCAGACGGCATGTGCTGTGGCCACCGCGAAGGTAGAGTGATGTTGGCGGAACCGACCCGGCAGGACCGGGGCGTCCCTCTGAGGACGCGGGCTCGAGGACTGCACTGCGCACCCTTCGGTCAGAGTCAGACCGCTTCAGATCCAGCCCCCAAGACCTAGAGAGGCTTCTATGCAGACTAGCAGCCCGGACTCCTGGGGGCGCTGGCGCCAGCCAGGGCCAAGTACCGACCACCATCTTCGCGCCCACCAAGCCCCGCGGAGATCAAAGTCCCCGCGGGCGGCGCCCTAGGATTAACACCTCCAACCTGGCCTTCCTAGCCTCAGGGGCTGGGAAAGGGGAGGGAGGAGGAGACTGGGAGGTGAGAGCCAGTCAGACCCGCACCCGCCCAGCGGGAAACCGGCCGCAGCCAACCCAGGATTCTAGGTGAAGGGTCGGGAAGTGGACTGGACCACCGCTGACCAGGGTCTTCCTCAAACCCCACACTGGCTCAATTAGGTCACCTGGCCCTGCAGAGTGAGGCTGGGGGGCTTTGGGGTGTCCTCTGGGAGGAAGGCAAGAAGAGGTGCGGAGGGGGGCGCTGGGAGACTGTAAGAGGCACCTCTCGCCTTCACCCCCGCAGGCTCAGCCACCTTCTAGAGCTGGTCATCTTGGTTCGTCCAGAAAGGGGATTTGAATCACAGCTGCATGGCCCATGGGGCATCATCTCCTAGGAGCGCGCAGACTGTCCTGGATTGTCGGCTGGCGTCCCACTCACATTGGGACTGTCTATGCTATCTGGGAACTGAGACCTCGAGGGTAGGGGGGTGTCCCCTGGGGTAGTGCCTCACAGCAGGGCACGGGTAAATCATCCTTCCTGAAGGCTTTACCTGCAGGGAAAAGGCCTGAGAAACATCTCTCAAGTAAAAACACTTGAGGAATTATTATCCTTTTGTACTCCAAAGGCTTTAATTTATGAAATGTAACCCATTAACACACCGCTTTTTGGAAACCAGTTACAGCACTCCTTCATAGGAGTCTTTCCAGTCCTGGGCCTCCTGGTCTCTCAGCTCCCCACCGGCACCTCCCTCAGTGTTGTCCTCTGCCTTCAGGTTCTCCTCCCTCATCCAGGACCCTCCAGCCTTCCCTGTCCCAGCTCCCTTGCCAACACCCTTCTCTACCTGAATTCCCTCCTGCCTCACCAGAATCCAAATGGGATCTCATCTCCACTCCGTTGGGCAGATAGCTCTACTCCTAAACCCCCTCCCAGCACCTTGCTGCTGCAGGGGAGGCCCCCTTTTCTCCACCCACCCCGCTTTCATTCCCATTAGCATTGCCTGGCTCTGGCCTGCTCTCCTCCTCCCTCCCCCTTGCGGTCTGGGTCCTTTTCTCCACCTCAGTGAGGCTGCTCAACCCCATGGCTGTGGTCACCAATGCCCCTGCTTGGGCTTCCTGGCCAGGCTTCCGCAGCGTCTGTGGCTGACTCCGCCCAGCCTCTCCGTGGGCTCTGGACCTCGTGCTGGTAATCCCTTCATTTCCTGAGACCGGATGACTAGACGCTGGCCTCTATGTCCAGGCCGACAGCCCAGTCCTTCCTAGCATTGCACACCAGAATGTGTGTCCCCTGGGGTGAGGCCCACCCCACCCCACCTGCTGGGACTCGAGTTTGGCAAAAGGGAACAGGGAAGAGGCTCCCACGTTTTCAAGGTCTCGGAGGCCGCGGCAGCCCTCTCCCCGTACACGTCCAAAGCCCAGCTTCCCCTGAAATGGGTTCTTCCCGTAGCCTCAGCCCTCAGTCCAGGCACCAGGTCCTGCGCATCCTGCCACCTGACCGCCCAGTTTTGGCCAGCACGGCCTTGGTTTGTCCCAGCCAACGAAGGGTGGAGAACAGCCTAGAGGGAGGCTCCATTAAATAGGGAAAGCCAGTTCGGTGCGCGGCAGTACTGCTAGTCTCCAGGTCCCGTCTCAAGCAAAACCCGCGTGGTTTCCTGACTCTTAGGAGAACCCAAAGCAGCAGCCACGTGGCCACGCCAGCCCAGCCCCCATCACTCCCGCGGTCAGCTCTGCTCCTTCCTTCGTCGCCACGCCCCCGGCCCTCCATTCCAACGCACTCAGCCCTCACTCTCCTTTGCTCTCCAGCCGCCCCCTCTGTGTCCACCCCCTGCTCTCCACACCCTTCTCTTTCGTGGGAGACCCCAGCTGCTGGTCCGTGCCGCTGGTGGGCAGAAGGGAGGGTGTGAGAGTGTGGGTCAACAAGGGCAAGACGCGACCCCAGCTGGACAAGTCTGGCAACAGACTACCCAGTGGGCGAAGAGGTGGGAAGCTCAGAATCCATTCCTAGGCTAAGGATGCGATGGGACAGAGCCCCCTAGCGGCTCATCAGAGAGCTCCCTCGCTGCTCGGAAGTTCGGGCTGCCTTGTTTGCCTGGGTCTCCTGATTGTCTCAACTTCCTTGGGGTCCTGCTCCTAGACCATAGTTGCCACCTGCTGCTACCCTTCCCACCAGGAAATGAGGAGAGGAGCAGCAGCAGGGTGCACCTGGCCTATGTGGTCCGGGAAATCTCTTGGACCCTCCCTTGTGCTCATGGCTCTGAGGCTAACACTGCAGGGTCCAAGTGTGTGCTACCCCCATACTTAGCAGTGTGGTTTGCATGTTATAACTTGGTGACCTTTCTGCTTGTGACCTCTGGGATGATGCCCACCAGTGCATCTCCCATTGCATACTCAAAGCTCTTCTGTCCTTTTGTTGTGTGATGGCCTCTGGCCAGAGACTGGGCTTTTCTCTTACGTGGGCCTGGTACAGGTGCAGGCCACAGAGTGGTGATGGAGTCACTATCTGGGGTCCCGTGGTCTTATAAGCCTCTCAAGGAGATGTGGGGTGCTAGAAGTGGATACTGAAGGCAAGGTCTCCTTTAGGTGGGCTGGGTAATTAATGCTGCGTTCAGTGAGGACCCAGTAAGGGGCCTTGAAAAGGCACCTTCTGGGGCCAGCAAGTGGTGTGGTGGTTGGGGTACTGGACTCCCACATGGCTGACAATGGTTCGAGTCTTAGACTTGGCAGCTTGCTTTCTCTCTCTTATTTTCCCTCTCTCTTTCTCTCTCTCTGGTGACTATAGAAAATTTAAAAATAATAACAATAAAGAAATAAAATTAAACAATTCTTTTAAAAAAAGAATGAAAAGAAAAGGCACCTTCCAGGGCCAATTCTGTAGGCTAGTGATTAAGGGAGCTGAAGCCCACAGCCTCAGTGGCTTGAAAAATACAGCAGATGGGTCCATTATGTGGCGTAGTGGTTAAAGCACTGGGTCTCACATGGCCAACTCCTTGGTTCAAGTCCTAGACCTGGTGGCTTGAAAAACACCAAACATGTGTGTATGAGTACATGCCCAAAATCCCAAGAGAAAGGAGGAGAAAGGATTGTGGCATGGCCATCCTCCCTAGGGGGTGATTTCTCACTTTCCCTCTCTCTGTCTCTCTGGAGAGACAAATAAATTAATAAAAAAAGAAAGGCGTAGGAACCTGCAAGTACTGTGGTGGTTAAGGTGCTGGATTCCCACATGGCTGACCATGGTTCAAGTCCTGGACCTGGCAGCTTGCTTTCTCGCTCTCCCTTTCTCTCTTTTTTCTCTCTCTGGTCAAATTAAATAAATAATAATAACAAATGGAATTAAAGAAAGAAAGGCATCCTCCAGTTTCTTCACCACCAGGTCACTGGAGGGAACCTTGACCAGGTCTCGGATCCCAAGCCTTTTACATTTGGTGAAAATAATGAGATTGTTAAAAATAATTAATTTTTTAAAGTTTATTTCTTTCTTCTGAGCATGAGAGACAGAAGGCAGATGAGAGAGAGACAGAAACAGAGAGGGTGCATTTCCAAGAGGGTCTTAACGTGATGATCTCCCCCAGCCTTTGCCAGCCCTGACTCATGGGCACACACATGCCTGGCGTACTCAGGGATGTCTCCGGACACAAACCTGACCCCCATGGATCGGCCTCATAGAGTGTCACATGTTACTCCTGTGCCACATCTGACCTCCTAAATGAACCAAATCTATTTATTGTTAAGATTTTTGCCATAGGGAGTATGTGCTCGCAGGAGAGAGACAGTGAGAAGGAAAGTGAGAAATCACTCATGAGGGGGATGCCATGTTACAGTCCCTTCTCCATTCTCCTGGGGTTTTGGGCATGCACGCACACATGCCTGGCATGATTTTCAGGTTGCTGGGTCTGGGACTTGAACTGTGGTCAGCCATGTGGGAATCCAGCACCTTAACTACCATGCCACCTACTGGTTCCCTTGAATCAGTATTATTGGTTAATAAGAATAATATGAATAATCATAATATAAATATTGTTTATAAGCATTATTTATTTATAATATTTAATTTAATTTATTATTTTTAAAAGTTTCTATACAGCACATTCACTCGCCAGAGAGAAAGAGAGAGAGAGAGAGAGAGAGAAGTCAAGTAGCTAGGTCTGGGACTTGAACCACTGTTGGCCATGTGGGAGTCCAGCACTTTCAACCACCATGCCACCTGCTGGCCCCCAAACTTAAATTTACACTAAAAAATTTGAATTTTATATAAAAGGATTGAATGTCCAATATGGCGCTCTGAGGCATATGTGGTGATTTTATTATTTAAATTAAGTAAATAATTCTGTTCCCCACTCATGGTGGCCATGTTTCAAGGGCTCAGTGAGGTCACACATGGCATGTGGCTGTCATACTTGTCCAAATGCAGTTCTAGACCATCGCCGTCATCCCAGAGAGGTCTGCACGGCACTGCTCCAGATAGGAAAGGGTGTGCAGTGTGCCATGAGAAACCACCGTGAGCCCAGACACGTCAGAAAACACGAGACACAGCCGCTCCTCGTGTAAGTATGATGAGGACAATGACCCTGGAGTAATAAGGGACCCCCTTCTGCAAGACTCTGGTAACAGAGGTGATAGGATTTGCAGATGGCAGCCAGTCATGATGTCCAAAGAGGTCTGAGAATGAGAAAGGAAATGAGAGGCTCAGCCGCAGACCAAGGAGAGTGAACTAGGACAGAGCTACCCCGCGGGCAGAAGGAAAGCAGGCAGAAGAGGGGGCATCAGAATTCAGTGCTCACAGGTAGAGGTGACTGTGAGGCTGGGAAACCAGCGCTGCCAGCCATGGATGCTGACATCAGAAGTACTGCAGGGACCAGCAGTTAGCGTAATGGCTATGTCGCTGGACTCCCATATGGGCGACCGCGGTTCGAGGCCCAGACCCGGTGGCTTAAACTCACGCCAGGCGTGTGTGCATGCGTACCCAAGATCCTGAGAGGAGAATGGAGGAGAAGGGACTGCGGTGTGGCCATCCCCCCTGGGGGGTGATTTCTTGTTTTCTGTCTCTCTGTCGGTCTGGCGAGCGCACATGCCCTATAGCAAAAACCTCTAAAAAAAAAAAAGAAAAGAAAAAAAGAAAGAAAGGAAAGTTAAAAAAAAAAAAGTGAGCCCATTTAGTGAAAAAGCTCTGGTATAAGACATAGTGAGAATATACAGGGGGCCTAGTGGGTAAGAGAACTTGGACCTCTATGCCCCAGTGGCTTGAAAAACATGCTAGTCATGTGTGTGCATGTGCCCAAAATCGCAATAGGATGGAGAAATGGAGGAAAAGAGACTGTAACATGACCATGCCCTGCTGGGGGGTGCTTTCTCTGTCTTGTTCTGTCTCTCTGGTGAGACCAGAGAGACAAAAAAAAAAAAAAAAAAAAGAATTCACAGGTGGGATGAAGCGTATCCTAGCTGAACTAGTAACGAGTAAAAGCCTACTGTTAGACTGTTCAAGGGACCTTAAAGAGACCTTAAAGAAATATATTGGGGCCAGCCAGTGTGAGGCGGTAAGGCAGGTGGATCCTACAAGGCTGTGTGCTTTGAGTCCCAGCCTGGGTAGCTAAAAAAAATTATGCCAGACACATAGGCATGTATGCTTATAATACCAAAAGGAGAGAGAAGTGAAAGAGAAGGGATTGTGGCATGACCATGGGTGGTGGTGGTGGAGGGTGCTTTCTCATTTCCTTTCTCTCTCTGGTGAATGTGTGCCTCCTGGAAAAATTACAAATAAATAAATAAATAAATAGATCAGGGCTCAGCTGCAGTG